AAGCCTTTGCCACCAGGAAGGGGGTTCAGGCCCAGCTGTTTGTGCACAAAGCTCAAAAAAAAACCCCAAAACCACACCGGGGGGGGGGGTTTGACAAGCACGTGGGGTCCCTCCCTCCATGTCACCCTCCCGGGGATGGACCGAGGGATGTCGCAACCCCCGGGTAAAAAAAAAAAAAAATAATTAAAAATAATCCCCCAAGCTCTGAGCTCGTCCTTCAGTCTGTGGTTAAGTAAAACTCTTCTAGAGCCGGGCCAAGCTCACTGCCCGGCATTAGCAGCGTTACCTGGTGTCACAGAAACCAAGAAAACGGGCAAATTTAGTGAGGTGGCATCGCGGGGAAGGTGCAGGCCAAGGAAATAACCTCACCTCAAACCGCCGGCGGAGCGGCGCCGCCCGGGACCCCACGGACTTACCCCGAGTTCAATTCCGAACGCCCAGCCGGGTCCGGCTCGTGTGCAGCCCGAGTCCTTTCAACTCACCCTCTCTGCACTTAAAAGACTTCTTTAAAAGGAAGATAAAGTGTCAAAACGGGCGTTGGATGAGCCCAGCCAGCACTAGACGCACCCGCACCCCGTGGTTTAAGACCCCCCCGCCGAGTCTGAGCGATGCACCCGGTGACCCAGGCAGCCTCCTCCAGCCTCAAATCTTGGCTGGCTCCGTATTAACACACCCCCCTAAAGAGGGAGGGGAAATGTTAAAGCCCTAAAACAGCCCGACGGGCCCTACAGGCGCTGGGGAAAAAAGAACCAAATTTAGGTGTGTTGAGTATCGCCCTCCTCGGCGGCGACGCGGGGAGCGGAGGCAGCTGCAGCAGGTCCCTGCGGGCTCCGACGCCGCAAACTCCCTCCCATCTCCGCAGCCCGTTTTATTAAAGCGGCAACGGGACCTACAGAGTCAGCTTGAGTCGTGTCCCAACCCCAGGAGTAAACCCACGGGGTGCCCAGATATCTGCCTAGGCTGGCTTTGAGCCCGGAGACAGGCTCTGAGCACAACTAAGGCTTCAGTTTGAGCCAGGGATGAAGGATGGTGAGGATGGAGAGGATGGAGGAAGTCAGGCCGCACAGCCCCACAAAGCCCGGGTTGGTTTTATACAGCCCCAGCTTGTCCAGGGGGATAAAAAGGTCGCAGGCGTTTTTCACCAGGTCCAGCAGCAGAGGAGGGTTGTTCCGCAGGACGCGGAGCAGGAGGCGGAGCTGGATCTGCAGCCTCAGCCCCAGCTGCTGGAGGCCGGTGTCAGCCCGGAGCTGGCGGCCGCTGTCGGAGCCTTTCGCTCGCTTCCCGCTCGCCTCCCGCTCCATCAGGATCCGGATCTCGTAGGCGTCCCGGCTCAGGTTCACGACGAGGGCAAAGAGGTAATACCTGAAAAACAGGGGAGAGGAATGGGGCAGGGGGAGAGCAGAGAGAGCGGGCAAACAGTGCAGGGGCCTGCGGCACCGGGAGCCTCTGGCTGTTTCTTTATCAGCCACTAAAACAAAACGCCTCAAAACCCCCCCGTCCTGTGCGGGAGGAAGAGCCCACGTCCTGCCCACAGCCGAGGGGCTGAGCCGGGCCAAGAGCCCACCGGCCTCCTGCAGGCAGCGCTCGGGGGACAGCTCAGCCCCCTTCAGCCCCCCCCTAGCCTGTGGGGCAGCAAAAGGGAGAGAGAAACCTGCTCGCCCAGGGGAAGATCAGAAACTCAGGCTGGGCAAGGAGGGGCTGGAGCAGGAGAAGGACTTGGGGGGGCTGGAAAACTGCCTGTGAGCCACCAACGGGCGCTGGCAGCCCAGAAAGGCCCCGTGTGCGGGGCTGCACCCAGAGCAGGGTGGGCACAGGGCCGGGGGGGGATTCTCCCCCTCTGCTCCGCTCTCTGAGACCCCCCTGCAGGGCTGGGCCCTGCTCTGGGGGCACCAACAGCAGAAGGACACGGACCTGCTCCAGCGGGGCCAGAGGAGGCCACGGAGATGCTGGGGGGGCTGGAGCCCCCCTGTGAGGACAGGCTGGGAGAGTTGGGGGGTTCAGCTGGAGGAGAGAAGGCTCCGGGGAGACCTTAGAGCGGCCCCCCAGGGCTGAAAGGGGCTGTGGGAAAGGGAGGAGGGATAGGGCGAGGGGGCAGGGGTTTAACCTGAGAGAGGGGAGATTTAGGTGAGATCTAAGGCAGAAATTCTCCCCTGGGAGGGGGGCGAGGCCCTGGCATGGGCTGCCCCCTCCCTGGACGGGTTCAAGGCCGCGTTGGACGGGGCTTTGGGCAACCTGGGCTGG